TGACACCTAGCTGCAGTCTGCCACATCCATCAAGCGGCTCTATTTCTCTATTTCTCTCTCTCTCTTTCTCTTTCTCTCTCTCTCTCGCTCTCTCTCTCTCTCTCTCTCTCTCTCTCTCTCTCTCTCTCTCTCGCTCTCTCTCTCTCTCTCTCTCTCTCTCTCTCTCTCTGGATGGCATGTCAGAACAATCCCGTCTTTAACACACTCAGACTGGGCTGTCGAGACACGTCACCTATAGGCCTCACAGTCAACCAGCATTTACAGGAAAGCCCAGAGAAGATGTAAACAACACAAGCAATGGGTTCTTGTTCCGAACACTGGCATATGTTGTGCCAGGACATGTATTGTTGATGTATGAGATAAGTGAACAGACATTTGCATGATTAACGAGGTATGACCTGTTTTAGCGCTTAGAACGAGGACCATAATATCTGCTGTGGTTTTATTAAATGTTTCTAATTGGAATTTACCACTGCATAGCAATACCCAAAACATAAAAGCCTGGCTCACAGACTGTGGGATGTTTTGTCACGGTTTGGTTGTCGATTTGGGAAGTATCTGTAAGATTCCTATAATCCTTGATCTTTGATTCTTGATTTGACATGGTCACAGACAACCGATTAATAGTTGCTGCCATCAAATTTAAAGGACACATGATAAAAATCATCTTTTGCAAGCTGTTTGGACAGATCTGTGTAAAGGTATAGTGTGTCCACAGTCATAATGGACTAATAGAAACATAATAAGTCTATTTTTTTTTAATTTCCTGACATTAAAATAGGTTCCAAATCCCTCCTATTTCGAGGCCCAGCGTAACGTGACGTAGGAGTGTGGTTTCCCTGGCCACCGAATTGATTAACAGTCATGTATTAACAGGTCTCTGTAGTAACGCGTATAATCATATCAACAAGACAGGACGTGCGCAAAGCAATTGGGATTAAAATATCTGTTCAGCTCGCTGTGATCATCAATCATCATCAAATTTGATTAAAAATGAGTTTTACAAGTTTAATATAAAGCAGTGGATATTAATGTGTATCCTGTCACATTTGCGTGCAAAAATAGTGCAAAGTTAAATACGTGTGTGTGAACTTTGAAATGTCATTGTGTGTTCTTATCGTTCTCATCGACTCATTAACTTCAGAACAAATACATCAAATAATCATTGGGAAAGTTCTTACTGTAGTATTTCTCACTGCTTCATTCATGCCTGTCACTGTGCTATTTATCTGACACCGTAGAGGCGGAGATTGAGGCACACTATGACAGGCACATGGAAACGATGGGTAGGGAGAATCTGATGGGTGTTTTAACCTGAAACTTTACAGGCACATTCTGGAGACACAATAGACTTATCTTAAATCTTAAAAAGGGGTAAAATTGGTGCTCTTCAAATTCTGACAGCATCAGAAGATCTTAGACACTTTGCTGGAGTGTGACTTCTCTTATGACAAGTGTCAAACCAAGAACCAACAGGAGGGCTGAACCTGATGACGCAATCAGAGCAGTAACTTCAAATCACCTCTGGGAAATGTGGAAACAGTTTTTTGTTGTTGTTTTTTATATTGTCAGGGAATGAATGCCATGTTTGTTTATATTTGATGTAGGGTGTTGTTTTAGAATGCAGGTTAGCAACGTGTCATTGATCAGTGACGTCAAACAAAATGTGGCCTTAGGATCATTTTCATACAGTCTAATAAGCTACAATCGTAAAGAATTAGTAAAAAATTGCATAGTGTGAGTATTCTTATCCTTGTGTAGCTTACATAGATTTGTATTAAATTACGTTGTTTGCCCCATTTTTTCCCAAAATACTTTGGGGGTTTGAACGACCCACCCCCTTTCTGACAAAGTCCAGAGTTTGGCCCCATATGAGTTCATTTAGCCCATTTTTGACAGTATGCCATCAGACATTGTGAAAATAACCAATAGAAGAAGGCTTCAAGAAGAATAAGCAATAAAATAATCAATAAAAGAAGGCTTTTATTGTTTAAATGGACAACTTTTTATTGGGGAAATGAGCTGGCCAGTTTGTTATTTGCCTATAGGTTGCTCACAATTTTTTTTCTTTTTTTTTTTTTGTTTGTTTGTTTGGTATGATGGATGATAATAAATTAGCATTTCAAAATGCTATCACTCTATGCATATTTATAACATAACAGAGCCCATAACATAACTGCCTCCTTTCGTTTTCAGTGAAAAATACGAAACATATCCTCTCTTTTGCTAAATCAGTTTTAATAATCAATTATGTCCATTATAAAAGTATAATGTACAATAAGTTTATACATTATAGGAAATAAATTAGTCAGTCATATGTGCAGAATCAGTGTTTGTGGTTACATTAATTAATATATTAACTTATCTTTTCGCTTAGCCAAAACAGGCTACTTAAGAACAAGTAATAGATTCCAAAGACCAAAGTCGGGGAGTATGTTTTTATCTATAGACAAGATTAATTATATATCACATTTAACAAATATAGTGAGAGTGGACCCAGCGGTAGATTCTTGATGAACTGTCCGACGTGCACAGCTCTCATCTGGGGTTCTGTGCTCAAAGCACCCGCTGACTGCCTGGAGCTCAAACACTCGCACACGCTGCATCGCATGCCAGAGTGTGTGTGTGTTCTCACGTGATGTGCGTTTTTAGTGGTCTAGTGTGGATAGAGAGCTGTTCAGAAATGCTAGGTGAAATGTCAGTGTGCATGTGGATCGTTTTCATTCTAAAACATTATTTTTAAACTGAAACGTATGTGTAAATGGGGCCTTTGTAACCAGCCAGAATACCACAGCACCAACTATCTAGCAACATGCTAACAAATAATTAATGGTCAGTTGTTTTCTCCTAAGGCACTAGTTAGTCTTATGAAAATGATTCATGGCTTTTTACTAAATGTGTAATAACTATCTTTCCTGACAAAGAAAAAAAAAACAGTTTTCCAAAAAAAAATAATAATAATAATAATAAAAATTGCAGTCAGTGCATTGAAATTAGTGTAGCAAAACCACAGTCAATTTGTGGTTACCAGGATTTAACAAAAATAAAAAATAAAAATAGTAGCAGTAAGAATGATTATCTCTCTCGCTGTCTGTGTCTATTTTAATTTATTAGAAAATAAAATCAGCTAGTTAAACATTGGTTTGGTTATGGTTCTATGTCATGATTTTAAACGTTTTGTCTTTTCCTTTTGTAGCCATTTTTTAATATACTATAAATGTATATTATATATGGTAATAAGTTATTATCAAGTTAGATTTGTAGGTGCCATAATGTTTCACCTTGTATTGTTGGAGTACTGTTAGGGTTAAGCCTCCAAAACCACAAGTAGACGCAGCCAATATCTTGCATTGTCATGGAAGTTCAATTGTTTCGATGAATGAATGGACTTCTGAAGGATCTTTAGAAGTGAGTGGCAGGTTCATACAGTGTACCATATTAAAAATAGACATGCGTTAAACATCTGTGTTCTTGCTTTGTAGGAGTGTTAATGCTCCTTCAAGGCCTGTCAGTGGCTCTCTCAAACACACTTTAAGACTGTCTGGACAATGAATGAAGGAGAGCTAATGGTCATGTTATCAAACATCAGCGGATCACTATGATGAGCTCACTGTTGATCTTCACCCTTTACACTTACTCTCTCTCTCTCTCTCTCTCTCTCTCTCTCTCTCTCTCTCTGTTTCTGAAGAAAGCAATCTCTTGGCTTGTTATTGTCTAGACAATGCCCTCAGGCTAAATGTTGTCTCTCTGGTGTTCTCTGACTTTAGACGGATGCACTGTCTCCCCCGACACACCTTTCATGCCAGAAATTTGAGTGAGAAATGACAGATTCTGCAGGCAGATTCAGGGGTTTATATCTGCAGTGGTGTGTGTACTTGACTGACAAACCACTTTCTGATGGATAAACAGAGAACTGTAAAAATAATAATAATAATAATAATAATAATAAAGTCTGTTGTATTCATAATCAAAATACACTTTTTAAATATATTTCTTTGCCTACATATCTATTGTTCTGTCATGCATCATTTATTGTATCTATTTGTTTGTCTTTTCAATGTTATATTAGAGCGATGAAGATATTGTTTCATAGAGTTTACACACATTCATTATGTAAACACAAACTTGTTGTATGCCATCCATCCAGTTCACACCACACACTCATTATGTAATTACAAACTTGTTGTATGCCATCCATCCATCCATCTATACATCCATACAGTTTACACCACACATACATTATGTAAATACAATTTTGTTGGATGCCATCCATCTATCTATCTATCTATCTATCTATCTATCTATCTATCTATCTATCTATCTATCTATCTATCTATCTATCTATCTATCTATCTATCTATCTATCTATCTATCTATCTATCTATCTATCTATCTATCTATCTATCTATCTATCTATCTATCTATCTATCTATCTATCTATCTATCTATGTGTGTCTGTGTGTGTACAGTATTGACACAACCAGTCATAAGGACTAAATAAACACACTTTAAATTAATTTATGATTGTTGGTATTTAACTGAGATACAACTGTTTGAAAATCTGTAATCTAAGGGTTCCTTTAAAGTGGTCCAACTCAAGCTCTTAGCAATGAATACTACTAATCTCAAATTAAGTTTTAATAGATTTATTGTAGTGCATTATCTTTAATTAATGGTTCGATTTTTAGCATAAAATAAAAATGTATAATTTTAACTCTCACAATGTATTGTAGGGTATTACTACAAATAAACCAGTGCAGCTTATAGTGCAAATAGTTATTACCTTGTGTCCATAAACGGTTCTCATACAGTTATAAGGAGTATTTAAATATCGACTTGATCGTCAAGTGTATTTTTCGTGCTAATATGATTTACCAGACACCAATCAGAAGCTGCTCCAGCACCTCATAGTTTGACTGCAGTATTCACATCAGCTGGGTTTGACATTGACAGTGTAGTTAAATGTCATTTTGACATGCTCTTCTCTTTCTCTCTTTCAGGGGTTTTCACCAAGTGCCGTTATGTCTACTACGGCAAGCACTCAGAGGGCAATCGATTCATCCGCAATGACCAGCTCTGACTGACAGACAGGTCAGTGGATAGACACGCGAGGAGGATTTACAAAGATATCCTGAGCATATTATTATAAATATACATGTTGCCACACGCATTTTAAGCAGCCAAACACAGCCCTCTAGTGCCGTCTGCTGAGTGTGCCTTCCCTGCCAGCTCCCATCGCTCTCGCTCCATCTGAGCCGTGCCATCCAGATTGACATGATTGCCTTTAAGCAGCCCCTGCTATGGCGCGGTGACAGACACACACACGCTGCCCAGCGCTCGTCCTGACAGCCACGGCTCCATGATGGATTGCCTGGTCCAAATGCTGCTCTCCCCAGGTCAAAGGTCCCACCTGAGGCTTCAGGCTGCCCACACGGAAGCCCAGGATGAGCTGCTCTCAAAGTCAAAGCCAAAGTTAAAAAGAAAGATCAGGGGAAAGTGACGCTGTTGTTGTAACTTCCATTATTAATAGCGAAGCTTCTCACATGGTTTTAATTTACAGTAGACAAAGCTAATGCAGGGATAATATCAATTTGACGCACTGCAAGGCCTTCAAAAATGAAATTAACATGATTTGTGTCACCCAAATTAATAGATAAACTAAAATGAAGTTAATATTAGTGTTTGTTTACATTTTTTCAGCCTATCTTAAAGGAATAGCTCATCAAAAAAAAAAAAAAAAAAAACTCCCATTTACCATTTACTGATTCCATACCCTCATGAGTTTCGTTTTTTGGTTCAACTCAAAATCAGATATTTTAACTATTGACTTCCATAGTAAGAAAAACAAATATAATGGAAGTTAATGAGACTTCTGACATTTTTCTAAATATCTTCTTTTGTGCTCAACAGAAAAAGAAAAAAATGTGTCTAAATTATGGCATCATTTTCAGTTTTGGGTATTTTAAAAATATAAAAAAAATAAAAGGCACAAGGCACGAGGGACATATTTTACAGTTCATATATATATATATATATATATATATATATATATATATATATATATATATATATATATATATATATATATATATATATATTTATAGTTAAAAATATTATTTCAATATTAGAAGCTGATTTTACACTATTTATATTTATATTACAATTTTTTTTCCAATTTTTTTATGTCCAATCAGGAGTTTTTTGGAATGTTTTCTGCATGAAATCCAGCAGCGAGGCCCTCTCAGGCTCTTCTTGACTCTGTGGCATGTGTATGTTTGCGTGTTTGTGAGGTGCATGTGCATGTCGTGTGTGAAGTTGGTGTGTTGCGGGGGTGTAGTGCCGGAGCCTGGAGGAGCTGTGAAAGAAAGAGGTAATGAGCTTTGCTTTATTTCATTCTTTCTCTGGAGGGAGAAAGCAAAGAAAGACAGCAGCTCTGGCAGTGAGAATGGAGGAGGTGGATGCATGTATGTTTGTGTGTGTGTGAAGGGGAGTCAACAACTTTCTCCATTTTTTTTTTTTTTTTGATTGTTTCCTCGTGCACTTCTTGGACCTCCTCACCTTATTTTAAGGATTTCTTTTTATTTTCAAATCAATTTAAAAACATATAAAAGGCCTTAGCTGGGTTTTGAAGCAGTGGCCAAAAAGTTGCAAATATTTGAAACATCAACTCCATTAGATACAGCGAGGTTGAGAAGTGTTTTATGTTTGTCCAATTTATTTCTCTGCTTCCTGCATTGCTCATGTGTTACATTCCATATTTAAATTCCAATTCTTGCATTGAATTCTGCATAAAGCTAGCCAAAGATCCATTACAAGCAAAAGGAGTTTTTATTTAGATCAAGAGTACTATGGACTTGCTTTAAAACATGAATTGAACAAATGTTTCAGAGTAGTTTGTTGTAGAAGATAATCTTGTATGAGTTGATTTTTTTACATGGAGCATAAATGACTATATCCCCTATTGACAATGAATATTTTTAACAATGTCTGAGTAAATATACACAGTACATGTCGCAGAATATAATTAAAGGTGTATTAAGCCATTATATTCATTAAAACAAGAGTGTGGTCACTTAACATCTTTAGAAATAGAATGAAGATGCATTTAAAATGATGATAAATGCAAACTTATTTTGTATGCTGTCTGTCTATCTATCCATCTATAAATGATAAAACATCTTCAAATGAGGTGGTGTGCGTGTATGTGTATATATATATATATATATATATATATATATATATATATATATATATATTAGGGCTGTGCAATTAATCGAAAATCTGATTTCGATTTTGCCTTATAACGATTATGAAAGATCATTAATCAAGATAAACGATTATTGCATCATATACTGCCCCCTTTCCGGTTGTACACGTGTTGATCTTAAAAGTACGAAAGACCGTATGATTCTGTGTGCCGCGCACACACAGAATTGAAGCATGCAGTCAGCATTCGGTCTCACTCGCACACTGAGATGAGCAGAGCGCAGTCAACGCACACATCTAAAGTCATTTTAATGTGAGCGCTTTAATGGTCAAATTGGTGTCAAAATGCAGTGTTTAGTGATTATTCATATCAAGCATCATTTGTGTAATAAACAAACGAGTTGAGAATCAAAAGAGATGCGAAAGAGAAACTATTAAAGAGACAGCGTGCTATAATCCTTCTGCTGCCTGTTTTTATGATTATTAATCAAACACCAAATGGAGAACATGCCTCTGCTCTTGACTGAAGGACGTTTGTAGCTAAAGTGTTTCTTAAAGTGAAGATGCTTAAAGCACAGTTTGTTTTATATTTTTATTCTATTGTATTTATTTCTCTTTCCTTTGCATGGTGGAAAATAACTGTTTGTATACAGTTGAAGTCTGAATTATTAGCGCTCCTGAATATTAGCAACCCTTTCCCCCCCAATTTCTGTTAAATGGAAAGAAGATTTCTGAACATAATAGCTTTAATAACTCTTTTCTAATAACTTATCTATTTTATCTGTCATGATGAGAGCACATAATATTTGACTAGATATTTTTTTCAAAATACATGCATTCAGATTCAAAGTGCGATTTAAAGGCTTAATTAGTGTTATTAGACAGGTCATTATATAACAGTAGTTTCTTCTGCAGACAATCAAAAAATATATTGCTTAAGGGGGCTAATATTATAGACATGCTTGAAAATACCTGCTTTTATTGTAGTCAAAATAAAAATAAAAAAGCCTTTCTCCAGAAGAAAAAAGTATAAGAGGAAATACTGTTAAAATTCCTTGCTCTGTTAAACATAATTTGGGAAATATTTATTTTTTACAAATTCTCAGGAGCGCTAATAATTTTGACTTTAACAGTAATCATTTTGAATAATCGTAATTTCAATTATGACCAAAATAATCGTGATTATGATTTTTCCCAAAATCGAGCAGCCCTAATATATATATATATATATATATATATATATATATATATATATATATATATATATATATATATATATACAGGGTACAACACTAAGTATTTTTCTACTGACCCGATCGAATTCAGATTTTTACTTGACCTGACACTGGCCCCAGCTGTGTAGCTTGTAATGCGTAATATAGCCTTAATATAGCTTTTTTGAACCAATTTTGTTTGGCATAATTCGTATCTTAATTTTTTAAATATATTTTTTGTTGGTCAGTTATCTACAATTATAAACAAGAAAAACTAATAACATTTGAGGTCAAGTAAGTGCCTCATGACAAGGTCTGACATGCATCAGCAGCCAAAGCACAAACTGGTTTGTTAAATAAAATGATAATATAGATAAAATAAAAGTGAAATATTCACAGTTTTGATTAAAAAAAATTCAAGAATTGCCTGTATTATTCTGTTTTCACTGTTCATGTTTTTTGCCACGCCACAGAGCGCCATCTGATGTCCAGTCTGCGACCCCCTTTTTTGTTTTTGCATGCACTTGACAAACAGTTGCAGCCAAATTACACCAATCGGGCCAGTAACAATCCTGTCTACTGTCCAGAGTGTCTCGCATGCTGGCCTTGGGCCATCAGGCAGTCCTTATTGTTGAGCCCTGATATATATATATATATTGCATTGGGATGATCAGAATTTATTTTGTTAAATTAGTTCCAGTTTTGAATACTGTAACGTACAATAGAAGTGTTCATTTAAAAGAGATAACTGTAAGGGGTGTACTCATTTATGCTCGCTTACTTACTGTAAGACTATTAAGAAAAATGTGCTAAAAATAATGAAACAAAATATTGGTGTAAATGATTTAAGTGTTATATGCCATATGTAATAAAACAATTGAATGAGTAGTAATGTGTATATGCTCTGGGATTATAGTATGTGATACTGTATAACTGATCATGAAAAATTTTGTTTACTTTTTTGATTAAAAAAAAACTGCTATCCACTATCTTATCAATAAAATTGCTTAAAAATAAAAATGATAATTTTCTAGTGATATTTTTAATAAGACAATCCACTAACTCCAGTGGTTTTTATTATTATTTGACTGAAATTTGTTGTTATGTTTTTTTCCTTCTTCTTGTTTTTTTTTTTTTTCATGTAAACATTCATTATTAATGGCATAATTTTGCCTGCCCTCGTCTTGCTTAATTGCCGTGTGTTAAACGGCCTCCCAAGTATGCCATCCAAATTAGCCCGGCAAATGAGAGATGTGCTTTTGGATGTGAAAGAAAGCATGTGTACTGTACCCGGAGCAGCGCTCGGCAATGTGAAGCGCGCAGGGAAAGGTCACGGATCGCCCAGTGAAATGATTTCGTGTGCACCGGCTGTGCGGGTTTGACTGTGGGTCACAGGTTGTGCGCGTCTGTGCCTTATGCACATGTCGGTCCAAGTGTGTGTTTCTGTGTCTGAGAGGTACACAATGCGGATATTGTTCTAAATGTGTGTGTGTACAGTACATTTGTGTCTTCGGCCCTATGAGACTGTGCTTGTGCGTCGCTCCTGTCGTACTGTTGGAGAGCATGGTCACTAGTGCGGGCGTTTCTAAATGACAAGGTTTATTTGTCGGTGTTGTGATATGTTCTGAGAAAAGTGGCACTGACAGCTGGTGGAGGCAGCAAGAAGGAGCCACAACAAGTCCCCCCCCTCCTTCCTCCAACCACACAAAATGTCATCTCTTCCCTGGCTGGCTCACCCAACCATCCCCATGAAAAGAACAGACATTTAAAACTTTGTGACATGTGTCAGAGACGCTGCCATTGAGCCACTGCCGCTGATGTAGCCAGAATTGACAGCACCCGAGCCGCTGGAGCTGGCTTGGGGACATACCGAGTTTGGTGAGTGTCAGTTCCCATCCTCGTCAGGGCCTCATCTCAAGCAGCTTCGCAAATATAAACAGCATTAGAAGGCGGGCGGAAGTGCAGCGGGAAGACATATGCTGACACACACTCACACACACACACACACACACACGGGTTTGAGAGAGAGATAGTGTGCGCTCTGTAGAGGTGCGCAGCGGAGACTAATTAAGGTGTGAGAAGTCAAGAACAACCTGTGGGCTCTGACCTGGGACTCTCTGCCAGCAGGGCTCAGAAAAACACTCCTCGGGATAGGAGAATGCAGGGATATGGGCCTAAGGGAAAGGATGGGAGCTAAATCGACAGCAACTGAATCAAAAGATCATATTATTATGATGAGATATCAATAAAATTGTCATGGTTTAAACTGTGTGCATGCTACTGACATGAGTAAACGGCCAGTGTTAGTATGTGCATGTAGTAATAACGTAGGAATACGTCATTTTAATTACTTCCAATAATATCATAAACAACTTCTAGATGTGAGTGTAATCGGCGATGATTGTTTACGATCAGGACTTTTAATTTTAGTCAGCCACCCCCAGGGCTTCCGGTTAATTGTCTTCCATACAAAATTGCAGCGTTTAAGATCTAGGGCCCTATCATACACCTGGCACAGTGTGGCGCAAAACGAGACGCGGCGCAGTAGTCTTTTGGTAGTTTCAGCTTGGCGCAAGAGTCGTTTTGAGGCGTTGCGCTACGCTGTTTAAATAGCAAATGCATTAGCGCTCATTTGTGTGCCCATAGGCGTTCTGGTCTAAAAAGGAAGACGTTCTGAGGCTTGAGAAACTATAATAGATTTTTCATTAGACCAAAACTAACCACGTCTAAACTCCGGCGCAGAGTTGTGCCTCGCTTACGCACTGCTTAATACGCACAAGAGAGCAATAGGCAAATATCTTTACATATGAAAAATTTTAAATATTAAGGATATATATATATATATATATATATATATATATATATATATATATATATATATATATATATATATATATATATATATATAGGATATAATAAGAATAGATATAGAACAAAAATAGAAAGGATTAAAATATTACAAAACATATTATTTTCTAGCCTACATAAATATGAAAAATCACTGCTATCTCTTCTTCATCTCGGGAGGCTTTTTCAGTTCATTCATAACAATTTGCTTTTGCATAATGTTATTATTATTAGCAGTATTATTTAATATATCCATATTTATATTTGTTTTATTAAAAACAAGCTTAGATTTGCCCACCTGTCAGGTTTTAGACCATATGGGGCATGGCAGGTGTATTTGGAAATAACTCAGTATTTTGACCACACTTGGTCATTATTGTTCATTTATTCGTTTGCTAGAAATTAGAACTGAATTTAGAAATAGTTTAAAAACAAATCTTTGTGCTTAACAAACGAAATTAATTATTTATAGGCTAATTGATGTCTGTGCGTAAAGGTTTCCCTATCCAAGAGCGAATGTGAAAGTAGATCATTTATCTCTCATTCTCACGTAGTAGATGCTCTGTTTAACAGTTTTCTGTTAAAAAAACTGTCAACTGTTAACTGTTTGCTTGTGAAATGCTCATTTTTTCCACTTAGACTTACTTTGCGTCCTGTAAGTAGCGAATGCGCTCTTGGCGCGACGCAGCTGGGTCTTAAAGGGAATGGGAGATGAGACTCTAATTGGTTTATTCTCAAAACACACCTATAACTCATTAAGAAAATAAACTCAACCCTTTTAGACCATGCGCGGTGGCGCAAAGCGCATTTTCCCGTCAAAAATGCGTTCTGACACGCCCTGAAAGCGTTTGCGCCCTGCGTTTTGCGCTCTGCGCATGGACCGTCAGAATAAAGCCCCTAATTTCTTTAAATATCAGTGATCTTTACTGCCTGGCTAAGATACAATATAAAGTGGGCATCAGACCAAACAAGAAGCCCTGCATTAAATTATATTTTTCTGCGCCATGTCTTTAAAATCTGGAAATTAATTTTAACCCACTGAATTTCTGTGCAAGCCTGCAGCTAATGAAAGCGTCTTCGCCAACGCTTTAACGACCAAAAGGGATGATTAAGTCTATTTAACCTCTTAAAGTCAAGTGCTATTTTGAGATTTCCATCTGGATTGGTATCATTTTTAAAGAAAACCCTTTGAATTTTCATAAAAACTTGTTGAATGTGATTAGAATGACAGTATATGTTGTCTGTGTTATAATAAACCCCTCCAAAAAGAGGCACTTTTTTGTAACTCATTTGAAAGCGAACCTTTTAGGTTCTGTGTGGTATAGGTTGCTGTAATTACTTTTGGTGGTTTCAACACATGTCAGTAATTATAGGAAAAAAGAAAAAAG